AACAATTATAACCACACTATGGGGTTGAGTCCAGAACTCTCAAGTCCTTCAACTAGCATCATATATTCATATCCCTTTAGTGGAAACCAGAGTGCTTTATGTTTCCTAACACTAGCCTTTCTGTGATAAATAGCACAATTCACATCTAATGTTATCCATGTCATCATCTCATATGACTCGCCCATACAAATGCGATGGATTTCCATTAGAACTTGAAGATAAACACCTAAAACTTAATCACTAGTGACTTTGATGACGATTTTTTCTAAAGTGTAGAGTAATAAAGTGTGCACTTGTATCAATAGAGAATAAATTGCTTTCTTATCAAATTTTATTATGATTTCCTTTACGTGTTAAATAATTTAACTCAACTGAATGTTTCGTTTAAAAGGTGAAAACTTGGTTTCAAAATCGACGCATGAAACACAAAAAGTTAAAGCGCAGTATACCAGATTTACAATTTACACAAAATAATTCATCTTCAAGATGCCAAAGTTCTACAGGAGATGATGATAGATGTTCGAGTGTAGAAGACAACGTCAATGTCAATATTTCTTTAACATCGAATGGAATTGTATTTTCCTCCTCATCATCGTCATCATCTAACATAAATGAAATTATTGATATGACATCAGGTCGTAGAATTCAAACGAATCAAGATAATCATTACGGTGTAGCCTCGGAAATCAAAAAACAAGAATTTCATGGTAATTATGTTCAGAATAACATGGAAAACTGTAATTTATTCTCGAACATATCGTCCCAAATGGAAGGATCAATAGTGACATCATCGACTTTATTATCGAAATCAACAGCTATATCTTCTTCATCATCGCCACTAACATCACCAACAGTATCAATGTTGACATCTTTATCTTTCTCAAATCCATATCCTCCTCACACTTCAAATCTAATGCCTATAAATGATAATCATCGGAACTGGACAAATTTCACATCAAAACTTAAAATGGATAGAATAATTAAAAATTTTCTAGCATATGGTCATAGCGAGAAAGATTATTCTGAATCTGCTCTTGATTTTACTACCACTACTACTACTACCACCACTACTACTACTGCTAATAATAATCATAACTGTAGTAATGATTCAAGTCCCAACTATATCCATGACCATTACAAACCTTCCATCATATCATATGACATCGATTCCACAGACTACACGTGTAGCAAAGATTATTCACCAGTGGGAAAGATAAAACCCGACTGATCAAATGTTGCATCTTTCCTCTTTCTCTATATCTATCCATCTATATATTTGTCTGTCTTTAAATATTATAAATAGGTTATGCTAATATTCATTTACTTACTGTGAAAATTTAAACTGTGACCATAAATATTACCACATCCACATAATATGCATCATACTATATTATTTATATTCATGTAATTTGAGTTTAATAAGGATTATAAATAAATGAGCATATTCATATGACTTTTGCCTAAACAACTCCTCTTACGTAACACTGACCCACATAACTAGCATTACAACATCATAATGTTTACATAACTAATATTGTTTAAACTGAAAGTCAGAATGACAGAGAAAAAAAAAAGAAAAATCAAATTTTACATTTGATCTCATAATCCTTAATTTATTGTTTATTTTCCTTGTTTTTAATCAAATTCCATAAGTAACCGCTTTGTTAGCCAACTGGTATAATTACGTAACACAGATGTAGATTAATTGAGGATAATGGGACTAATTTTAATTACCTTAAATAAAACATCACACACACTCTCTCCCTTAACGTCTTCACCAAATATACAGAATAAATATTCTTTGATTAGATTTGTCAACAAGTTCATAGTTTTATATGAATTGAATGATTTAAATTTTGTTTCGAAATTTCGATGCAGATACTGATAACTAGAAGAGTGAATGTGAAAATTTCGAGAATAACTAGTTCATAATAAGTGACCTGATATCACATTCTAAATTCCATGTCTTATTTACCGTGTTGTTTTTGACTTCATACGTAACGGAGTTCACCATCTTCCGATATCCATGATTCAATAACTAATAAGATTTTGAATGCGTACTTATTTGGAGTTTCATACTAGGACGAAATAGTTGTGTTTCGCTTTTCTAGTTCTATCCAACCTCCCAGATGATACTAGTCAATAATGAATAAAAGTTACATTTGAATTGATCGAATCTCGATAAATCACACTGAAGGAAAGTTAATACATTTCAACAATCGAAACATACCATTGAATTTGTAGGTATCATTACTAAGGTTTGACTTGATAATTTCGAATAAATTAAACATTGGGTAGATTGATATAAATAAACTAATACATTTGTAATATCCCAATGAATGGAAAAACTAGATTTTCTAACGTTTCGTAAGCCACTTGATCAGAGGATAAATAACCAAATCAAAATTGTTCCAAGGAACAACGTGAGAATATTATGTGCGATCAGTCAAAAAACAGGTTTGAACAAATCAATATCATTCATTTCGGTCAAGGTGATTCTTAAGTGACATGTATGTAAATTTGTGTTTGTGTGTGTGTGCACGGTTAAGAATGAAAAAATGTGTGACCTTTATGATGAGAAAGGATAGAGTTTAATTTGTATTTACGATACTAGCGTGAAATGTGAATAATATTAGACTAGGTGGCTAGGCACTATATGGAACGATTCAGCTACTCTCATTTCTTTGTAATTGGAAAAACCTTTTTGTAATATTTTGAAATCCATTTGGTGGTCGTTGAAAATAACGTGAACTGCTATTGTCGATTTAATTTGAAGTCTATCCAGTTCTACAGGATTATTAGGTGGTTTCTTTGTATACCTAATATGTTATTTGGCTCAAGTCAAGATTTCGCGAGATGACTCCGCAATATAGAAGGCATCACAATCGACACATCCTAATTTGTAGACATAGTTCTGTGTTGACACAAAGGGGATTTTTTCTTTTAAGAGAACTAAAGTATTTCGAAATGTATTCGTTGTTTTGTAATGTACTTTAATTCTGTGTTGTTTTGAGATTCTTTGGAGTTCTTCTGTTGCATCATGACAGTATGATAAGACTGCAATACCAATGCATGGTGATTCACTGGAATTATTATTACGCAAATATTTGGCTACTTATTCTCTGAAGAAATGGCTTACATTGAGTCACGAAACGTCAGAAAATCTAATTTTTCTACTCATTAGAATATTACAAATATATTAAGTTATTTATACTATTGAATTATTTTTAAGTAGTTAACACGTATCGGTTTTTCTTTCTACATTTTCATGCAGAAACAATTCATTATAATAACTGAAATACGAAAAGTCTTATGAGGTGGTTCGTCAGGATGACTGACAAAAAAACCGTAAATATATTTTACATTGTGGATTTGTTACATAAAAACACCTTGTAAACTAACAGACAGTCTTACCATACATACTGAAAATAAAATTTCTAATGACCTAGAACGTATATCAAGGTTTGTTTTCAATGTATAAAAAAATTTATATTTCCAATTAACCTATCTCATACACTGAATAAATCTAATGAAACTAAGGTGTGAATCCCACAGATACTATGCACAAAAGCATCATTCTGTAGGCGTTGCCAATTAAACCAAGTTATACGTCTCATATTCAAAATTGTAATCATTCAATATCCGATATTTATTATTGAGGGGGAAAAAGTCATTACACTGAATCATAGAAGATCCCAATTTTAAACATACAAATAAACATAAACGATTAAATTAAATGAACCAACTTATTCATGTTAGACTGATCATGATAGAACACTAGATTTTAAAGAGTACTATCCAAGTTTTATTTCTTATTGGTAAGTCATTTTAAATCACTTCAGAAATTGAAAGTGTTATTTTATCAGGAATCGAATTTTATTCAACTACAGTAATCTCTTGATGAAATAAACTCAGCTGAACTATGAACTTGAGATCACTTGGTTAGCATTTTAATACACGTTCACTATAACTAGTAGGTATTCACATATTCTTTCCTAATCTGTACGTGCATGAATTTAATGAAAACAATAACAATTTGAAACTGACAACAAATCACTTAGTAAAGTCAGTAGGCTGAAAATTTAAAATGTTCGCTTGAAGCATCATAGTTTAATGACGACTACTGTTTTCTAGTTCAGTGACTGACTGAAAATGTGTTAAAAACCATGTGTGAATGTGTCAATTGTTTCCATTACCCTGAATTTTTTTCGACAAAATTTAATAATAGTAGTTATATATTTTGCTGAATTTATCCGTTATTGAAACAATATTATGGTATAAAAGTACCATCTCACCACTAGTATATATCAACAACACTAGTAAATGAATATTACGTAACTAGTCTATTGAGAAAGCGCGGATCGGTAAAGCAAGAGCAGTGTATTTACAATTGAAGAACATCTGGAACTCAAAACAACTATCAACCAACACCAAGTTCAGGATTTTCAATACAAATGTCAAGACAGTTCTACTGTATGGGGCGGAAACCTGGAGAACTACGAAAGCCATCATCCAAAAAATACAGGTGTTTATTAACAGTTGTCTACGCAAAATACTTCAGATCCGTTGGCCGGACACTATTAGCAACAACGTACTGTGGGACAGAGCAAACCAGATCCCAGCGGAGGAAGAAATCGGGAAGAAGCGCTGGAAGTGGATAGGACACACATTGAGGAAAGCACCCAACTGCGTCACAAGGCAAACCCTCACATGGAATCTTCAAGGCCAAAGGAGGAGAGGAAGACCAACGAACACATTACGCCGGGAAATGGAAATAGAAATGGAAGAAATGAACAAGAATTGAATGGAATTAGAAAAGGATGCCCAGGACAGAGTGGGTTGGAGAATGCTGGTCGGCGGCCTATGGTCCATTAGGAGTATCAGGCGTAAGTAAGTAAGTCTACTGAGATTCAGTACAATGTTTGTGATTATATTGAGGTATGCATAAATAAAACTTTTCAGACACTATTAGTTTCATGAAACCTTTGAAAAATGGAATATTATGAATAAAGTTATCATTCAAACAATAAAATCCATCAATAAATAAAACAACACAAAAACCTAGATTGCAGTTAAGTTTTTAGAATAAATCAACAGCCTACTGATAACTTGTTTAAGTAGAACATAATGTTCATTAAAATAAAATAGTCCATTTTTCAAGTGCAATTATGTAATTTTTTTAAAAACGATGAATAACTATGAATTGTGAACACGGTCACATAATATATTTTCACAATGATTTGATTAAAATTATTAAGTTCTGTATAAAATTTTGCAGTACAAGCTTTGGTTCCTACTAGTTAATGTATAACAAATAACTGATATTATTATGGTAAACAGGCTCTAAAATACAAAAAATGATTATTCAGTTATAAATGAAGACCAGTTCCTGTATGGGATTTAGCTGATATCTTCATGAAATTATGTGCTAATGAACCAGTATAATTTAAATCGGTTTGATTTTCCCCCCTGTACGTGTAATAGTTAGAGCAAAGAGAATGAATAAAATCTGAAAAAAAGGAATTGGAAAATAAACGAAATTGTAGAAGTTCAAGATGAATTGTGAAAAAAAGACTACATTAGCACTTTACTACAATACGACCAAAGAATCATTATAATCATTTAATTATATGAACACATCTTCGGTGCTACAAATATTCATCGATGATGCTTCCCAGGTACGTGAAAAATTCAACAACTTCCGGAGTTTCGCCATTAAGTGTGATTGGGTTGGTGTTATAGAGAAGACATTATTTATGAAAATTATATTTGAAATAATCTCAGCGATTCGAATTTAAATAATTCCAACGTCTCTTCCAGCAAGCTTTTTTTTGTTTACCTAGTAGAAATCTCATGAGTCATTGAATTTTATGAAACAGATTATAATATAAAACGAAATTTGTTTCTACTATACAAGATCGAATTGTTTCAAACATTCTAAGCACAATAGACATTTACTTACTTGAAATCCTACCGCTCCACATAATATATAAGCTGTTATGTTACCATACATTATGATATTACTTTCTATCTTTGGCCAACATCCAACATGTATATTACTGTTTTCCATAGTAAATTGATCAGGACAACCATTATTAGTTATTTCTTGATTTCTATCCATTTTGCAACAGCTGATTGGATATTGAAATTCTAATCAGTTTTGGTAGGTTAAATAATTGAAGAAAACAGAACATTTATCCTTTTGACTATTTTCTTTAGAAAAAAATCTATATGGTCATTCATTAACTAGACGAAAATGTAATATTCAAACTAATTAAACTGATTTTATTGTTATCCAAGGTTAATACATCATTTCAGCCATCTAAGATCTATCTTAAAAAAATATTGCCAGTACAACACACAGAATGTTACTGATATTTATGTCCTCAAATACAACATGTATGGCTGAAACAAGATCTTATAATATGAGCACTACATATAACCATTGATTATAATGTATTTATGGATCTAGAAAACAGAAGTACTGTACCCAACAAAAAAGTCAACTTGCATTTTGATCAAGATTTTTGGTTAATAAAGTAAGTGTGAGTTGAGAAAGAAGTCAAGTACCCATAATATAGAAATACAATAACGTTTTTCTAATGTTGGAATACATGTTTAATGAATAACTAAAAAAATAATCGTATAATGAATGTTTCTAAAACACCACCATTTCTCACTTAAACTTAATATATTGCTCATTTCAATGTGAACTTCCGTGACACTCATGAACGAACACATTTTATGAGGTTGGCCAAATAAAACAACTAGAAATTAAAGCAGCTATTCTCTAAATTTAAATGTAACTTTATGATTTTGGAATCAGGATCATACTCAGGCGTGGTCCGAATTCTTCGTTTTTTCTATTAATTTATTGTTTAGATTAAATTCTTGAGTTCGATCAATAAGGGGCTCGTGATTGCCCACCACTGAGGAGTCCAACACTAAGAAAAAAAATCTGTCAAGTCCTCCCTTGTTTTAAATATTGACTTAACTGAGGTAAACCGATGACTAATATCCTTAACAAATTCCATTGTTATCAATATTACATATAAGAATTATCCAACGCGTACCGACAACCGCATATAAAATAGAACCTATGACTATCACGTACATCAGTGAGTACAATATAATTGATCAGCAGAGTCACTATTCAAATGGTACACTTTTTCTGACTTCAGTCAATCTGTGGCTTCCAGGAGCTTAAAAAAGTCTGTAAACACTTTTTCCAATCAGAATTCACTAAAAACTCCCCATACAGTCCTAGAAAAACGATAGATTATATATCATATTGTGATTTATTAATTTCTGACTTTATTATTAATTTAAGCATATTTCCATAATTTTATAGATCTCAGAGTCAAGCATAAACCTAAGGACATTCATTTTTTATATAATTAAGTGAATTTTCGAATTAAAGCTTCTTTTCTTACTTTCTTCCTTTGTATTGGCTTAGTGGCTCAAATGCAAGAGATTTCTGAGGGGACTAGGAAACTACCGAAATATGTCCATGTCGAGTTCTGAAGTATCGAATGTATCAATAAGTTAATACAACCCTCATAAAATATTATCAGTGAACTACCAACACTCAATTAGTGACTAGTGTCTATTCGTATTTAAAACTACTTTAAGTTTATATGAAATCTTCATAAGCTCTTATTGGTAAATTAGAAAATAATTCATAGAAGCATAACTCCCAAAATCTAACAATTGAAACAAGGATTGTATTGATAAAAGTAATCAACTGTTAACTACTAATTACCAGTTTCCAGAGATAGTTTATCAAACAATTTATGTCAATTGTTTTCACACTATCTCCATGTAAAAATTCTATCACAATTTTGGTTTGTAAGCAGCTGACGAGAAACCTCGAAATAATATGAATTCATACTATTCTGCATCAATGTTTGTTCTTGCTCTATTCAATTTTAAACTAACTGGTTAATTAATGCATTCAAAGTAGGTTTTAGTTTAACTACTCTGAATCCATTTTAAGTGTATTGTTACTCCACTCAACAAATCACAAAAAATTGTAATCATTAAACGTGCAACAAATATATTTTAATTTCAGTGGTTGAGATCATGAGTCAAGTGAAACTAGATCACCATGGAAAGTCTGGAAGTACTAGACGAACGTTTCGTTCTAGTATGGGACTCCTCAGAAAGGCGCATCCACGGATCCGACTCGAGAAATTCAAACCGAGAACCTAACGGTCTCACAAGCAAACGCTTAACCACTGGACCACTGAGCCGAAATCAAGTGGTGTTAATGTCTAACTTCAACTAACCCACAATCGCGGATGCGCACTGCTGAGGAGTCCCACAATAGGACGAAATGACTGTCCAATGCTTCCAGGTTTTCCATGGTGATCTAGCTCCAATTGACTCATGATCTCAACTATTGAAAATTTTAATAACTTGAAAATTGATTCAGTATTAGAAAAATAAGGATTCCTAGTTAGTAGGACTAGATAATCATTCATTTCGTGACTTATTTAACAGTTAAGTGTTATATCCTAGTGAAGATTAAATTACGGGTAACTCCTTAGAGCTGTTGATGGACTAATATTATATATATTCGTATTGTATAACTATTCAGTAACTGGTTTATGTATTTCTATATTTATCTTACTATAAGCTTCATTTTGACCTATAGATTATTATTGTACGGTTTATTGTTCTTAAGTTATGTTCAGTTTATTGATTACAGTCTTCCACGTTCACAGTCACTCTTTGGCGTGTTGTTGTATAAATGTTATTTCCTATTTTATGGTGTGGTACGGTCTGTTTGGTTGACATATAAACTAAGTATGTTTGGAATAAATGATTCGCACAGTGGGACCTGTTGTTGGCGTTCTGGACCCAATTGGACGTGTTAGGCGAACAAAGAACCAATAAAAACTTGTCGAACGTCATTCGTTTAGCACAGTACTAAGACTGAATAAGTCGTATTTCGATTGGCGATTGGCTTAAAGTCACAACAATAAGTACTATTCTTGTATCTGAAAATCTACTATTTGTAAGTTTACAGGGCTGTACGATATTTAAAATAATTTATTATTTCTGTTGAATGATTTAATAGTTTTAGAAGTTATATCAACCTGTTTAGTTTTTTCTGAGATAAATACAAATAGTTCCAGGTGGGGGGGGCTTTGTTTTCAGTTTTAAATCGACTACTATTATCTTTTAACAATCAATGAAAACTAAAGTTTACATCAAAATTTGGAAGTTAATAAGCTTACCGCTTTTTGTACTGAGATTAGATTTTGTTATTTCAAATAAGATGACAATAGATTCAGTTAATGTTTTCGAATATGAAATTATTAGTAGACTGATACTTTTCCCATAAAAATAGAAAAGAATCCATAGTCCTAGTTGTTAACATAAGAATCAAATACTACACTTAATGGTCAATGAATGTTATTCATCTGGGGTTTGGTAATTTTTAGTTTAACTAATAAACTAAATAAGCTGTTATCATATCAAACCCGTTATTATGAATAGTAATCAGTGTAATTTTACTTATGACTAAGATCATGAACCGATTGACGTTAGCTCACTAGTGACTAGCTTCGTGATGGAATTCTTAAAGTTTTAGTGAGAGGCCGTGACCAGTAGAGCTAATCCGTGTCGGGTAGAGACAGGTATCTACCTCAGTACAATGGAAGATGATCGTGCAATTTCGTGGATTGGTTGAAGTCAAACATCAACATCGTTGGATACCGGCTCAGTGATCTAGAGTTTAAGCATTTGCGCGCGAGACCAAAAGCCCTGGGCTCGAATCCCACGAGCAGGATCGTGGATGCGCACTGCTGAGGTGTCTCACAATAGGTCGAAACGTTCGTTCAGTTTTGGTGCAGGTTACTTATATTCACACAAGTAGTATATAACGGTGGTCATGCATAGAATGTATTTCAGTAGAAGGTCGATGAGGAAAGAACGGGGACGGAATGCAATTTGTATGAAAACGCATGAACAATGAAATCTGAGACAATGGATTGATGTTTGCGACAGGAACGGTCAAGTTTGAGATGATGGATTGATATTTTGCAAACTAACTATTTACTACATGGTTCTCAGATGTAAGTGAAATGCTGTGTAATTTTGTACCCAAATACATACGATTGTCTCCACTCTAGTTCTGTTCACTACACAGTACCTCCAGGTTTTCAATGGTGATCTAACATCAATCGGTTCATGATCTCAATCAAAAACTTATTAGTCTCCACAACCCCATACTGATAACTTTGTTTAGTCCTTACCTTAGGAGGAATTCAGCCCATCAGAATACATTGTGATCACCATTTGCATGGGACTCTATATCATGTTACAATTCGTTTTCATATAAAATATTTGGGAGTAACCGGTAAGAAGCTTTACAGATAGATTTTACTTTAGTTGGCACTCATCATCAAAGAGAATATGACAAAATGATGTGAGTCAATATATAGTGTCGAATTTGTATAATCACCTCAATTATACATCAACTCAAACGTCTTCCACTGCTAACACTTCTGACTGTGATCCAAAATAATAAGCATTCCAGCTGTCTGTAAAACACCAGCTTCTTCAAAGTTTCAAATGACCCTTACGGATAAATGCCAACTAGTTTGAGGTCTAGTTCCAAAACTTCCTATTAATTCCCTCTAATCAAAAACATAGAAATAAATCGATTATAGGAAGGATCATGTTTAACTCTAAATATCCAGTGCAAAACATTTGTATTTTGTACTTCCAAGAGCTCCTAAGAAGGACATATGCAACACCTTTAAAACTCTCATCCTGATATACCCTATGCAACAAGTCAACTACTTGTTTATTCAAATCATGAGTGATAGAATCTGAGTACCAATATATTAAAAAGTAATAGAATGCTTCAGTCCTTAATTGTGACATTACTTTCTCGATTCAGTTCCATTTGGCTCAGATATTAAAAAATTTAAAATTTTTTTGATGCATCTAACAAAATGTCCTAGACATCACAGTACTGAATGTTTTTTGCAACTACAATTAGAACCACTCTCAAATCTCCAAAATGAAATGTATATTCACAAAGAAATAACAGATCACGAAAAGCTAGTCAAAAAAAACTTCGTAAATCTAAAACTGGAAATAATGACGCGTAGCGATACTTTTATTCAACTGTACTATGTTATTACCATAGCTTATTACGTCCATGATTTAACTCACATGTTGGAGAAGAAATAATAAATTACTGAATGTTTTTTACCGGTAAGTCACTAAGAAAATAAAGTATGATATCCAAATTCTATCGCTAGTTAATATAAAATAATATGAAACCCAAAGCATCTTATTACAGGAAAATTTCCGTGATAGATTCATAAGCTTTTTATTCATGATGGTAAATTTAAACAGTAAGACTTCATTTACAAGCGCCAAGATGAAACTAAGGAAGCATTGGACAACTAGAGAAACAGCATTTCAACGGTTCAATACAGCCTTCCTTCGATATACTGACAAACTCAACGGATTCAAGATAACTCTCAACAACATGTTCCAAGTCTTACAGGATCTGCTGGAAGAATAAATTACTGTGGAGGACAATTGGAAAGGGGTCAATGAAGCATTAACTATCAGAAAGTGAAGGGCTGCAGGAAGCATCATCATAAGGAATGGATCTCTGGAAGGGATTCAAGAAAGGAAGAACAAGAAGACAGCAACTAACAATAGCCAACTGAACAAGGATAAAGAAAGTCAAGGCATAAAATGAATACACAGAAGCAAACAAGAGAGTGAAGAGAAGAATTAGAGCCGACAAGCAGAAATACGTAGAAGAGCTGGAAACGACCGAAGAAAAAGGTACAGAGGAAGAAAATATTAAAAAAACTATATGATACAACAAAGAAAATGGCATGGAAATATAGTAAACCAGAAAGATTGATCAAAGGAAAAGAAAGCAAGACTGAAACTGAAGAACAGGAAGAAAGATGGGTAGAATACTTTGAGAAACTCTTGAATATACAAGCTCCACTAAACCCACCGGATATCAAAACAGCACACACAAACCTTCCTATCAATGTCGCTCCACCAACGATCGACGAAGTTAACATGGACATCAGTCGAATCAAGGGTGGGAAAGCAGCAGGACCAGATAATATACGAGCCGAATCTCTGAAGTCAGACATAGAAGTAATTGCAAACATGCTCCATGTACTATTGAGGAGGATTTGAGGGGGGGAATAAAAATTGCTGCAGACAGACTGGAAAGAAGGATACTTAATCAAAGAAAGGAGATCTGAGTAAATGTGAAATTTTACAGAGACATCACACTACTGTCAGTGTAAAGCTTATAAAATCATTTTGCAGTCATTCATGTTCGTCTGTCAAGAATAGTTACTCCATTTTGACTCACCGGTTGTGAATTTCACTATTTAAGATAAGTGAAAACTTTATGTATATAAATAAAAACAATTTTACTCACCATACGGTTCACCTTTATACATTATGTTTGGTTTAGTCATTTTTACATGAACGAAATCACTTCCATTGTTAATACCACAGCATTGTAACTATAGGGAAAAGATTGAGAAAGAATAGAATTTGTGAATGATTCGTAACAGAAGTGTTTTCTAATTGAAATTTTATGTAAACGCTATCCTCTAATGAAATGAATGAACATGAAATTAATTTCACAGATTGAAATCATGAGTCAATCGAAGCTAGACCACCATGGAAAACCTGAAAGCACTGGACGGACAGGTTTTCCATGGTGGTCTAGCTTCAATTGACTGATGATGTCAATCTGTGAAAGTTCTAAAATCTCCACGAACCCCTTCGGATGAAATTAATTATTTATGTTGATGTGCTTAGGAGCGGCGTAACTACTTAACAAAGAATGACTAATCCACGGATATTATGTAGTTGGAAAAGACAAACACATTAACTGAAGCCGAATAATATCAAGTCATTTTATTTCGTACGTTTCTATTAGTTGCTTATATCTGCCCATTTATATTGAGAGAAAACCTGATATTAAACTATCAAAAGCAGTGACTGAATAATTGAAGTGACTATCTGTGTTAGATGTATATCTCGCTATCTGTAAAATCATTTGAGGATAGCTTCTGAAAACATTTAAGGGATGAAACTGGAAAATTTATAAGATACGTCCTTTAATAATATTTAAAGATTTGAATAGGTTTTGAGAAATGAATGATCAGAAACACACAGTAACTGTAAATATATTTTTGAAGTGGATAAAATGACAATTACTTAAACGAAGATTGCATGCCATAATAATAATAATAATAATAATAATAATAATAATAATAATAATAATAATAATAATAATAATAATAATAATAGGGAAGGTATTCAAAAATATCAATTTGTTATGGCAGTAATAAGATGACAACTGCTTCTTTTCGGATCCATGTGATTTATCTTGGTTTTTTTAATGACCACTGTTTCAGTGAAGCATGTCGTTGAGTTCTTTCGTCTAGAAATCATTTTTAAAGAATTACAAAAAACAATAACATAGTCACAACAGAATAAACATCGAACTACTGTACTGATGCTAGTTGTCATACCTTTTAATCACAGATTCTTTGTAACATGTACGGGAATTATGAATATGTAATTTTCTCCTTATTCTTTCAATATATGTCCTTTCCCACGTACAATATATTCAAGTTATAAATGCAGAAAACGATGAACTAGTTGATTTTTGTCCGTTTTAAAGAACATTTTAATTTATGTAAGACAGTGACTAACTTCATTATTAGATCATTATTCTTTATTTCCTCATTTAATAATTAATCAAGTGATTTCATCACCTTTGAAACGAAATTGTATAGGAAACGATCTTTCTTATCAATTCTGTATTATATATAACACGTTCTTTATATATTTAAGTATACTTCTGATTTAACAATCATTACGGAACTACTACATTCATATATTACTTATTTACGCTTGTTACTCCTTGTGAAGGAGCATTGGCCAGCCACCAGAAATCTCCACCCAACACTCTACTGGCCAGTCCTTCCAGCTCTATCCAGTTGCCATTCATCCTTTTCATATCTACTTCTATTTACCGACATAATGTGTTCTTTGACCTTCCTCTTTTCCCCTTCCCTTCAGGATTTCAAGTTAGGGATTGCCTCATGATGCAGTTTGATGGTTTCCGTAATGTGTGTCCCATTTACCTCCATCGTCTTTTCCTAATTTCCTCTCCAGCTGGAACCCAGTTTGTTCTCTCCCACAGTAGTTTGTTTCTGATGATATCCGACCAACTGACATTCAGTATCTCGCATAGATAACAGTTTATAGATGCTTGTACCATCTTGGTGATGATGGTTGTACTAGTTCTCCACGTTCCAACTACGTACAGTATAACTGTATTGATGTTCGTATTGAAGATTCTCACTTGGATATTGGTTGACAATCGAGTTGAGTTCAATATGTTCTTCAATTGTACGAATTCTACCCATGCTTTGCCGATCCTCGCCTTTACACCTACATCCGATAATCAATGTTCATCGATGATGCTTCCCAGGTATGTGAATGATTCAACATCTTCTAGTGTTTTGCCATTAAGTGTGATTTGATTGATGTATTTTGTATGTATGTTTTATTTGAAAACCTTGGTTTTCCATTGTGTATGTTGAGGCATACTGATGCAGAGACTGCCCCTACACTGGCTGTCTTTATCTGCATTTGTTCATGCGTATGCGATAGGAGGGCTAGTTCATCTGCAAAGTCCAAATCGTCTAATTGGTTCTGAGCTGTCTATTGTAGTCCGTGTTTTCCCTCAAATGTCGAGGTCTTCATAATCCAGTTTACCAGAAGAAGAAAGAGGAAGGGGGAGAGTAGACAGCCTTGTCTGACTCCAGTTTTTACTTGTAATGCATTCATATATAGTTTTTAGGTAATTCGAGACTGTCAAATGTATCATAAGGTATCTCATAAAAACTGGATTTTTCATTTAACCTTAAAAGAAATCGATTAGTTCAGCTAGTAATTGAACACTGAGTAAGTCAAATGTATACAAAATATTTTTAAAAATACATATCGCTTTATATGAAGTCATAATTAACCAGTGATACATCTAGTCGCGTCAAAGGAATTAACATAAGAGTTCAACAAATATTGTAAATAATAGTAAAAGTTCAATAATTGAGGCATAATTTCATAGGTTGATGACCTACTAAACTCATATATTGAAGCTATTTTCATCTTAAATGAATTATATTCGTATTCGTTTTTTATCAAATATTTTATACCCAAGTTTATCAGTTTAGCGGTGTAAATGGACTCTTACTTTGCTAATAAATTTTCCTGTCTTTTGACACGTATTCACTAGTATATGGGATAAATATTAAGGATTTTGAGGACAGTTATCACTTAGCTATATAATTCATTTCAATTTGGATCATCGGTTACTTTAATTGAAATTTTTCAAACTATACATTCGTTTTACCTTCAAATGACAACGATCCCATAATATTCAAGGTTAAGTGAAATCCCCAAATCGATAGATGTTATTTTTATAAGACTTAGTGAAAGAGACCATATTTAAATTCATCTGTTTAGGAATAACTATATTTGATTTTGGCATTTCTGGAATCTTAACAGATCTACCACTCTCTGTGTATCCCACTACGACATCTGAGTTGTCTTTAGTAGATATCATGTGGTGAAAATTTTTACCGATGAGCTTTGAATCTTATGTCTAATCATTGGCTGAACTCCGTGTAAAACATTATAAATACATCCTTTTAACGTACAATACCAAATAACCATATCTTTTAATATCATTATTTTTCTCACCTGTATCATGATGTGGTTTAAAGCATAACTGTGTATATCAGGTGAATCATAACCGATATAACGTTGAATACTTGAATTGAATATATTTCGACTAAATGTGGTTACCTATGATAAATGTAAATGTGAAAAACCATCGGTAAATGCATATATACACACAAATTTTACATAGAAAACTTGAGTCCTGCTGCTTACAATAAAGTTGATCAAAAAATATATTAAAAGCCTGGAAGTTGAAATTTTTTGTTTATATTTCTTTCAAACAGGTTATTAAAGCATACACGTAATATGTTTATCATTCGTACAAATGGATAACCAAAATTTATATTTAACTGAAAAGAAGTGGATTAATTAGATAAGAATATTTCATTCTGAAGGTTCAAATTATGGTTCGTGGTATTACGTAAACATAATAATCTTAATAAAAAAATTCGTTCTGCTAGTAGAGGGTGTTTGTAGAGATTGTCGATTCAAATAGCTCACATCAAAAACTAAATTCAGTTAGGTAATCATTAGAAATCATCAAACTGTGAGCAGATTCTTTGGCCTGGTATGTAATTTCTCAACACAGTGCATTCGTGACTCCACCGGGGACCAAACTCTGGACCATTAAGTCTCATAGCGAGCGAGTGAACGTCAGACCGCTGAGTTGGCACTCAAAGGTTTACATTTATAATTCCTGGACTTCTAGTGAGAATCTGTGACCGCTAGAGTTCGACTATGTCTGGTTTGAAACAAGTATCACCAACGTAATAGATTATGATTGAACAAAATTATGAAGTGATTACAGCTAAAAATGTCAACTACCAGATATCAACTCGTTGATCAAAAAGTAAAGAGCTCGCCATGAGACCTGAAGGTTACAAATTTAATCTCTAGTAAGGTCGTGAATATACACTACAGATGAGTACCATGATGGGTTGAAACAGGTGTCCAGTGCTTACTACTGTTTATTGGCTATTTAACAAAGGTCAGTTCATAATGTTAACGACAAAATTCATTCTGTTTTCCTATCAGTCAGAATGCAGAATTCAAAATTTTCTCCATATTTATTTTTAGTTATGTGAAACGGTACGGAGTTGTATTTTGCTAAACCGAATTTTCTCGCTTCAGTGAAATTTAATGTACTTGATGAGATGGGGTATTGATTCGTGTTTGTGAGGGTAAACCCATTCAAACAAATCATCCCCTTATTAAAATCGAGACTCTGATAAAATGACATTATTGGGTAGATATTCTCAGTGGAATTGCGTAATATCTTGTCTGAAACTTCAAAAAATTAAGTGTAGAAACTGGACAGTAGAATTTCCATTGATCATGTCTGCTCATATTAGTTCTTTTAAAGCAAATCTTAGTTCTCAGTCAATAGTTGTGTCTATTGTTTTGAAAAATATTTACACAAACATTGTTTTGATAAATTGGTATTAGAAATTTAACCATTCTAGGATAATTTCTATCGTAAAATAGAAGAACCTGAAAATAACATTTAGATTCAAAACGTGCGAAATAATAACACTGTTTGGCCTGTTCCCCCCTCCTGTTCATGATTATAGAATCTTCTATAATTGTAAAATTAAAAAATTTGGACACTACAACTGTTAGCAGTCCGAGTTAGACTATTGGACTGGAACACTAATCTATATAATTAAGTGTCAACTCAAAGTTTAAAAAATTGAATTCTGGCCAGCTGTCGAGTACAGAATAAATATTTTGTGCTGCATGTAGACTGACAGCCGAATTTACTTACAATTTAGTACTGATCTTCATACTGCACATATCCTGAAAGAGGCTGATCGATCTCGCTCCTAAATTTCAACAATGGTAAATTAAAAACCCTTACTATTATCTTTACACCTGTTGACCAATATGATGACCATCTGAACTCAATAACTTAACTGATGATGAATACTAGGTTCGGGTTCCAGTGTAAACACCAACATTGAAATCTAAGTACATCCAATTTACAAGTCCAAAATGTAACAAAATATCTGTCCAGGGCTCCAATGCTGGCCATAATTCATTTATCAAAAAATCTTATAACTAAGATTACATTGAGGCAATCCGATCAGTATACACATATAGCAACAGAGAGTCATCAAATACAGTCCTCAATTTCGACAACAGTAAATCCCAAACTATTACCAATATGAGGGCTTATAAGTTACAAAATTCAAAACAGCAGATAGTTTGACAGTTATTTCACCTCACAAATAGTATGAAAATATCATATGCTAGAAATTATAAACGAATTTATCTCGTTTCTACTAAGAAATATAACTGAAGCATTAAGATAATTCTTTGGAATTAAAATAATCGCATATATCAGAAAGACTTCCATAAAACCAACATTTAAGTCTTTTTTCCTTACTAGTAAATATCAAAATAAATTTCTATTTCTTTAGATTTAATTTAGTGAGATTATTCACCAGGTACTGTCCACTTAATCAATACTTGGTACTTAAAATCTATAAATATATTTTAAAGAGAGCAAAAACAAAGGTTGGTGCAGAATAATATAAATTCATTTTATTTCATTAGGTCCTTATCAGCTGCTTGCAACCTAAAATATTTAAAATTCAACATTATTACAGATATTGATATACTTATACATCAGAGGGTGATGAAGGATGAATATATGTAACATGATGTAGCAAAGATTTCGTTAGAGTTAATGAGGTCATAAAGTTTTGTTTCGAATATATAGAATATGGGAGGGAAGGTTCCAGAACACTCAAATGGTGATTAGAAAACATGGAATTAAAACACATTAGACTATTATGTAATGAAATAACTGAAAATAGATTAATGGTAATAAAGAGAGATATGAATTGAAATTGGTCAGTTATGAATGATGTAATTATAAAATTCAGAAAAAGTTGGAATGACGTAATAAATAAAGGTGGGGGGGGTAATATTACCAGGGCAAAGAAAGGTTTATTACTGTTTCTTTTTGTATACAAAGATCTGGTTTTAAACGTTTGATTGCTATCGCTTCGGCAAATTTCTAAAGGTTTGAATTTGATTGTTTGTTGATCACCTTGAAGGACTTCAATATATCGACTTCGTGTCCTGTGCCAAGGAGATGTCTTGCGATATCGCTGCTGAATGCTTTTAGTCCATTTGATCTCAAACCCTTCGGAATATGTTCTTTGAATCGGACGTAGGCTCTCCTTTCTGTTCTACCAATGTAACTGCTTTGGCAAATACATGTAAATTTTTATACACAGTTGGTGGTAACATGAAAGGGATACCTATCGACCTTTGATTGTGTCAAAGAACATGTTTTGGATAGAACAATCAATTTAGCCGCAAGATATGTTTTTGTCAACGCAGTTTTTAGTCTCATATTGATTTTACAAAAATAGAAAACAAATTTCACCAGGTTTAATGGGTCATTCATTTGTATTACTTCTTTAAAACACTACAAGTTAACACTAAAGAAATATATAGAACAAACTTACTATATCTGGTCGACAGAAATACACAATAATGATAACAGTTTCAGGGATAAGAACTAACAAATGCAATGTTAGATACTGAAAATGAATTATAAATTATAAATGATTATAATATGTGTACTACAACTATATATGACAAAACGTTAAAGATATTTACAGAAATCTAAAGTTATTCGAAGTTGGATTCAACATCTCTTTATGGTTTTGTACAAATGGTCTACAGTAAGACCGATAAATTCTATAATGAATAAAAATTGTATGAAACGTGCAGTCTATTAATTACTATGTGCCCAACTGATGGTTACTTATATAATCCATAGTCTTGATGAATTGTCCCAGTGAAGGGATATCAGAAGAAAGAAGTATTTGTCAAAAAAATAAGAGTTCATTTCAGTAGTAAAACTACATACTTATATCACAAAATATTCGACACAACTGTAACCATGTATAAAATGATGTTTCCTAATGGTAGAAAAAAAACTGTCAGCACTCAGTAATCAATTCATGAGCAAACAAGTGGCTAAGTGGATAACTCGATGGCGTTTGAAGCAAACGGTACTAGATTTGAGTTCTGGAGTTAATATAAACTCTAAAATACAGGGACATACAGCTGACGAGTCCTAAATAAGACGAAACACGCGTCCTCGATTTCACTGCTAGCCGCTATCCATCTTTGCTTATAAGATTAGTTTTCACTTTTTTTATAAACGTGACATTTTAAATTCAATTTTATTGAAAACATCTGATAAGTACTGCCTGTATTTCAAACAGATAATTGTGAATTATAGTTTCATGTACAAATTACTTTTTGCCCGGTTATACAAAGCAATCAGATTCTTCATTATGGAAAGTTAAGTTCCTGCACTATGAAGTCATATAATATAAATTATGTAATATAGTTTCAAATCTTTCAAATCAAAATGGATAAATATCATTTTTAAAAATCAGCAGAACTCAATCAGTACTGAAGACTATGTAAACACTATACAGATGACTTCCCAGTGTATAATCACAACAAAATGGAACCTAATTTTGTTTGAAGACAAAGATTTTTGAGGTTTTACGTTGATTGAGCTGGACAGTTTAACCATGAAATTCTCAATGTAATTTATGCTGATGATGGTGATGTGATGTAGAAAAACAATTAAAGCTTCATGATTAAACTATCCAGTTCAACTGAACCCTACACCATCAATATTCTTACTAAAGATTTTTATCAGTGATGTGTTGATTCATATCAATAAACAAATTACTCTGAGAATTTGATTGAGATCATGAGCCGATTGATGTTGGACCACCATTGAAAACCTGGAAGTACTGAACGGCCGTTTCTTCTTATTGTGGGACTCCTCAGAAGTGTGCATCCACTATCCCGCTCACGGGATTCAAACCAAAGGCCTTCGGTCTCGCGCGTGAAAGCTTAACCTCCAGATCATTCCTAATCCGTGTCGGGTAGATATAATTATCTAACTCAGTACAATGGAAGAAGATCACGCGATTTCGTGGATTGGCTGAAGTCAGACATTACCATCGTTGGATACAGGCCGGCTCAACTATCTAGAGATTAAGTGTTCGCGCTCGAGACTGAAGGCCCTGGATTCCAATCTATTGAGCAGGAGCATGGGTGCGCACTGTTGATGAGTCTCACAATAGGACGAAACGACCATCCAGTGCTTCCAGGTTTTTGACGGTGGTCTAACATCAATCGGTTCATGTTCTCAATCAAAAACTTAATAATCTCCACAATCCCATACTGATAATTACTATTTGTAGCTTCATTTGATAGATTTTGATTTGATGGGGAAATGTGATCCAAGTACTAAATCCATCACGAATTTTTAATCAATTTGTTTTTCTCGTAAGTCATATTCCGAGGGATTTTTATTAAGATAACTTATCTACTCACTTTGTCCTAGAAAACTCTAAATATCTATCACTCAAACAATAGTTAATCATGTTACTTAGTGACGGTGAAGAAATTTTAGCTTATTTGGGAACTGTTTACCACAGAGTACATAGTATGATACTGAATCAAATGATTGCAAGGTCACTTATTTTAATTTGGTCTCTGTTTGGATTTCTTTTAACATTTTACTGTCATCTTTATAGAAGCTCAGAGTTAGACTGATGTGGATAAAGTATTTCTTACATATGCAGCCCACCATGATATCCATTGATGACTAGCACAAAAATGATTTCTAGGAAGGCTAATGGAAGCCTAGCTAAGTCATGGCATCTTTTCATGAAATTACTAAATCTCAAACTATGTCTTGCCAGATGGTACAAACTTTCAGGCTGAAGTTCGAAAGATAATAGTAATTTATGTTTGTAAACCTTAAAAGATATAACTTTCCATAAGTATTAAATGAATATAACTAATTACACTACTGAAACAGATGAAACTCAAATGATTAGTTGTTAATTTCATGAAATACAATAATGTTTAAAATTTGTAGCTCACATGAAGTTGATTAGATAGTTCAATGTTCCGCAGATTGAGTAGATTATCTATTCTTTATAAGGGTTTAGGTCAAAGTAAACATAATGATAGTATACTATTGAAACTAGTGACATACTATGGTGATGATAGTAAGAATCATGCAACGTACCATACAAAATCAGGCTATTCATTGAACAGAACAATGATTATTAACTTAGGAAATTTGCAAAGACTGTTCAATGTGATGATACTTTAGTTAGCGGACTAACTTATCGACTGGGTCATGGGTGCATACTTTGGAAAGTTCCATACTAAAACAAAAAATTTATTCATTCCTTAAAGGTTTTCAATAATGTACTACCTGATGTCAATATACAATGTAAACTGTCTTCATAAGAATGAATATAATATAAACCATGGATATAATATGTTTAATAATTTTAACTTACAGTATAAATTATCAATCTAGATTTTAAACATGTTCCAATTATACCAAGCAGACAAATAATGAAGATGATCAGGCCAAAAACAAAAATGTAAACTCCTAAAGGTTCTGTTAGTACATGTTTGTTTTTTGAAAAAAAAAGGAAAATATGTTAGAGAATTTATCAAACAAAGAACATCATAAGCAAAGATGGAGAGTGGCTAGCAGTGAAGTCCGGGACACACGTTACATCCTACTTGGGACTCGTCGGCTGGACGTACCTGCATCTGAGTTTATTTCCACTCTGTGACTCGCTTCAAATGCCATTGCGTTATCCACTTAGCTACTGAGTCCTGATAGCCGCTGGCTTGTGCAATGGGGTGAAGTTTAAATTCACTTGATATAGTTTACTTGAATCTTCCCGTTGATGTTTAGGACTGCGACTGATCAGTCTCTTATCGGTATATACGCTAGCCACTATCCATCTTTGCTTATAATGATTGTGAATTAAGGCGATCTCGAGGCAACACGCACAGTATGCACATATCTCAATAAGAGATTGATCAATTGCAGTCCTAAACATCAATGATAAGATTCAAGTAAACAATACCAAGTGAATTTAAAGAACATCATAATTGTTCAAATTAGATATGATGAATATAAATTGATCCTCGAAAAAAAATGAAAATACGAATATCATTCTGTTAAGAAAAGAATATCTCTGATGTTAGTTCAATTTAAATTCAGTTGGAAGTTGTTAGAGTAAATGAAACTCTTAGAATTATCTGACGGTGAAATATTATTTAGTTATCTTGTTTATTGCGTATTTAGATAATGTTCGACTGAAGGTAGATTTTATATTCCTATTATTGTTAACTTTCACTTAAACGACTAACTGTTTGTAGAGTTTTTAACGTTCAGAAATTACCATTACTTAATTATAAATACATTATTTAATTTGGTATCCCATCTTATCTAGTTACCCACAAATTATGATTTTTTTTATTTGTGGTGCATAATAGTCTTGTAACATAAATGTTTATAAGTTTTTGAGCCATAAGGATTGTGAATCATAGAATGTACTTCAGCTGATTACCTATTTGTTATGATTGTGTTGGGGATGTTAGATCCCCAGAACTCACTTAATAAATGCCGTATTTTTGTATTTCTATTTTAAAAATTTGAATTTCTTGTTTTCGATCCAAAAGCGCTCATTTTCACCTTCATGTCGTATTTCTCACTTAGGAGAGTCTTAAGCGCTATTGGTTCGTTGCATCTTTTAGTATGCTATTTTGTACCGTGCTGTATACATAAGCTTGCGTTGTGCTTATTGTCATTGTTCGTGCTTCTGGCTGCTTGTGGAATATATTTTCCCCTTCCGAACTTGAACTTCTCTCTCTAGTTAGCGGGGCTGGGACGCGTCGGAATAGCTAGCTTATTGGTCATTGTCACAGAGTCTTCGTTTCCGTTCTCAGATTAGATGATCTCGTAATCTCTTCAAACTTAGCAGATTGGCCATTAAGTTTAGAGGGATCTGTGCATTGAACCAATAAGAGTTTGTATCGACGGTCATTTATGTTATTAGTAAAACGAACATTAATAACATTATTAAAGGAAAGTGAACCTATTATTCAAAGTCTCAATAATTCAGTGATCCGATTAAGTAGACAAATTGACGTTGAAGTTATCACTCAAATAACCAACAGAAGTCCTTGAACATGAATCTCGTTCTAGTAATCTGTCAACATTATTATCTGATTGGTGAAAAGTAATCATGGCCTTGAATCTTGACTCTACCCAGAGTATCATTCAAATATCTAAATCTTATATTCATAACTACACTAATGTTTGAATACATTTTGGTTTATGAGTGAACCGCTAAAAGCCAAGCTAATAATTGTTTTTTGGTATCAGAAGTGGATTTTTGTAGATATAATAGTAATTTTAATAGTTGAGATCATGAGTCAACTGAAGCTAGAGGAGTCCCACAATAGAACGAAACGGCTGTTCAGTGCTTCCAGATTTTCCATGGTGGTCTAGCTTCAATTTGACTCATGATCTCAACTACTAAAACTATTCTTTGCTTAGTTATACCTATCCACTTTAAAATTGAAGATTGTATAAAGACCTTTTAAATGGAATTGTTCAAATACTGGATGATATATTATTTCAAGGCTAATTAACCAAAATGAATGAATTATTTTTAAAACAAAATGATATTTACTTACGAATCTCTTCGAATACATTGAAAAATAACTTTGTAATTCTTTTTTTAATCGTTAAAGCATCGATTCCATCTACTATAAATGTATGTAGAGTATTAGGTAAAGATTTTTCTCCCCAAATGTATATTCCACCAACCACTGTTATGGCTCCAGCGATAAGCTTATAATAAATGAAACATACTAGTAACTTACATCATAAGTAATAGTATTACAAGTCATAAAATGGACAAAATTATACAGTGCACGTACATCACATTTATAGAGACAAATATCCTTATATTTACGAAATTCCTTATTCTTTCTTTATCAGTGCTCAATCAGCAACAAAATTTGCGTATGCAATTACATCGTACCGTTAAATAAATAAATAAATAAATAAATAAATAAATAAATATATATATATATATATATATATATATATATATATATATATATATATATATATATATATATATATATATATGCTGTGACTCATTTGACAGTCCTCCCTCTCTGTCACCATGACTTCCTGATATTAATCTAACTCATTATTTTCTATTATATTTGATCTCTCTTGATTCTTTACGTTTCACCCCTGATAACTGGCCTAGATGTCAGAAGATTCGCTACATTTATTTATCCCTTCGTGTTCTGAATGTACTAAGCTCTCTCTTTCTAGTAAAAATTTTTGTCTGTTTGTTTGTCTCAGTTGTTAATTAAACCTTATTGTAAACTCTGAGTCATTTGGGATTCTTTATATTCGGCAAGTTTCTTAGCACGAAGCATCATAATTGAAACGTATGGTTTATCACTTTCATTGTGTTTAATTTTGATAGTACTACGACTATAATATCTAGAACATTCTTGTTTGACTTGATTTGTGTGAGGTCTGATTTGTTATATGTGACGTTTAAATATCCTCGAGTCACTTCTATTGGCCTAGATACCACTGAACACGATGTTTATGTAAAGTAACGAATTTGTTTAATTGAAGTCTATAGTAATCGAATTACTTCTCTTCTAACTATCTTACTTAACTCTTTAGTAACTTGTGTCAATGTTGTCGCCAAATATTTCTCATCAAACATAATTTTACATTCATTAGTCAAACTTTATCAATCAACATCTTATCAATAATATCCTTTCTTAGTATACATTAGCTATTCCTTCACGTCAATGAATGATTTTTTCATCTTATAGACCTTACCAACTGAGTGTGATCCTTGTAATCTAACTCGTAAAAGGCAACCAAAGTACTACTTAGTTGATCCGTTTTTCTAAGATTTTTGATCAAATCACACATGAAGCATTCACCATAAAACTTATATAATTTATAGGAGCCACCAAAAATTACAAAATTAAATATCAATCCAATTAAACAAATTATTTGTAATATGATCTCATCACACCAAATAAATGCCAGTATTCAAACTTGAAAATTAATCGACCAATAGTTCATTCTACTTGAGAATTCATATTAGACGCGAACAAAACCACAATTAATTTCTAAAGTTTTCTATAGTTTCCTATGATTTCTCAGTTCATATTAATTAACCATAGGAGTTATCAAATATCCTCAAACTAGTGATAATGACAGTGCAAATTATACATTAAAATGATATAAATGAATATGATATTATGATATTATATTATCGACATCAACACTTATGCCTTGTTTTTAGACCATTTACCATCTTGTTTATTCATCTGCGTCTAATACTGTATACTTGCCTCGGATTTGTATCTATTATTATATTAAAAGCTATCCATCTATAAATGTGTATGTACGTGTGAATTACTAAGCGTGTTAGTAATGCTGAATTAAGTATTGATGACCTCACTTATTATTCTACAGCCATGTGGATTTATTTTATTTCGGATAATTTCTTTTCATTTTTACATTAAAATTACTATGGTTATATAAATGTTAATTATGTTAATTGTAACGATGACTATGACGTGTATACACTCATAGCTGGCACATTTGTTTTTCACATGTTATGATTTCCCTTCACCATGGTAACATTACGACATAGTCTTAAAAATTGACATTTTTTTTCAAGTGTAAACTATTCCATATCAGAATGGGTTTTGTGGAGATTTTTCAGAAATTTCACAGATTGAAATCATGAGTCAATTGAAGCTAGACCACCATGGAAAACCTGGAAGCACTGGACGGTCGTATCAACTCATTTCCACAAAGAATAACTGTAAAAGTAATAAGTAAACTGTAATCATTGAGTTTAGAATATAAATAACAAGTCTATTCATAAGGCTATATATTTCTATTGAATTAACTCATTGATAAGTAAATGTATTTACCAAGTGGCTGCGTGCACCTAAATATTACATCAACCAAATCCAAGATACAAAATGTCCAAATGTGTTTAATAAACACACTGATATTCATTAAATATCAATAAAAAAAAACATTTAAATCTACAACCTATAGCGTTTACCAAAAATGTCACTTTACTAATGAGAGAAGTACAACTTCGTACAGTTCTTTCATTAATGTGTTGTATTTAAGAATCATTTCGAATGTAGGATTTACCTCTCTGAGTCACAATTTGAATTTAAGCTTATTGAATTTAATACATGACGACGTTGTTCTTTTTTCTCTCAACAAGTTCACTACGAAAAAAGAACATTCTCTTTTAACAACGTCTTCACCCCCGAATTTTCATTGTACTTTGACCAGGATGACTAAGAATACAATTATCTAACTAAATAGAATATATTCTAGGATTAAAAACAAGACTCTGATCTGTTCATATTAAAACCTTCATATACCTAACAATGTTTTACAAATAATAACCACTGAAACATTATATAATTGTATGTTAATAAGACACTCTGTAGTTGGGCTAAATATCCGATTAGATCTATTGTGTAAAAATAGTTAACTACAACCTACCATGAAAGTTGACCAGTGAGAAAAAACAATGAATCATAATAAGAAAGTAAATTCTAAACTAAAGATACACTCAATATGTTTTCTTTTGTTTTTCATTGACTACATCTGAAAAAATATCACTCATACTCTGTAGTTAATGCAGAGAGAAAAATTAATTACGTCAATGGATAAATGAGGTAACATTTTTAAACTATTATAACTTACTCCAATGATAATATTTACCAGAACCAGGATACAACGAAGCACACAAATATATGACATAATTTGTTAATTAAAGATTGGAAACCAACCTAAAACAAAAAATAAAATGAGGGATTTCTCATTATTTTTAACGGTTTATCACATTGTCTCCACAGTGTAAAAGGTTTATGGACGTAGATTAACTCAAAAGTTAACAATACAGACTGATATTCGTTAAAGAACCATTAAAAACCAGGAAGTACTTGATAACTGTTTGATCCAATATGGTAATCCTCATCAGCGTTCATCCACGACCCCCCCCCCCCGAGAATTGATACAAGAGCCATCAACCTCGCGACGATTAATTTACCTTTAAACCAGCGAAGTTACATCCAATGGTCTTCGTATCTAACCTCGACCTTCCTCCAATATCATACCTCACACTCAACGCGATTAATCTCTACTGGTCAATGATTCTCAATACAACTCCTGGGATTACCAATCCAAATTAATTCCTAATGAGCAGATGACGACTAATATTACTCATTAAGGGTTTGTAGACACTTTTAAATTTGATATTTAGAATCATGGACTGATCTTAAATGTTAATATCACGAACTGAATTTGATCAGTATGTAGATTCCTTAAATGAATGTCCAGATCTTATTTCGATTGACAAATCGTTTATACTTGGAGTATCAGCTGCAAGTGTACTTATGTTTTGTCTTCTTCCGTACTCGGCATCTGGATATAGTTGCATACTCTTCGTTGTTCATACAGCGTTTCGAACCTAGTCCTGAAGAATGATGGTCAATAACTCGCTTCACATGTATAATATTCATCTTTAGTTTTAATGTTTTTTTTATATTCATGACTTAAGGTAATCAATCTCTGCAAACACAATGGTTCATTTAATAGAAGTCAGAACACTGCTTCCATTGATAATATGAGCAATATGGGGGTTATCATAGCTCAGTAGCCTAGTGGGGTGATGAGTACTAGAATCGAGTCTTTGTGTGATGCAGGTATACTATAGTGATGAGTTCCAAATAAGACGAAATATGTGTTCTAGAATCTACTCCTAGCTGTGAAACAAAATGTGGCCAAAAACTTTGAGTAGCTGGACTCTGTCAGGAGTAAACAAACGGCCTAGTCTTCGTACTTGTCACCAAGGTGTATACGAAGCCTTGAAGGTATTGTCGCCTCCTGTGTGATTAGAATCAGTATCAACGCGCTCAAGAGCATAAGATGTTGAGACTAATCTCCAGCAAGACACATTGATCGATCACTGAGCAGCGAATAATGTTATGTTGGTCTATACCATTGGTACTGATCCAATTCTATCTGTTACAATACAACCACTACTATAAGGGTTTCTTGCTGACTACCCCGAACCAATTAACATCAAAACATAGAATGTAGGACAATAGAAAAGTCAACATAAATATTAACTAGTGAGAGTTATGGGACGAAATACTTCAACTTTGAAAAGAACTTGATCTTAAGAAAGATAAATTTAATAATGATGATAGTTATTGTCAATAATCAGGTACTCCGTAACTAAATGACAAGTGGTTTTTGTCAGACCAGATAGAGTAGCACTGGATAGTTGTCTTATCATTGCATGAGGCTACTTAGTAATGCACACCTACAATCCAACCACGAATTAATTATTTGAAATTAATTTCATCTGATTTAGACAAAATCAAGATGCATTTATAAGGTCAGTACTGTGTTTTTCTTTAGTGATTTCTTCAAGTATACGGAAGTTTTAATTTATATATCCTGTTTCCACTAAATATTTAATGACTTAACTTCCAAATATTGTATTTTTTCTGAAGGTAAGTTCTGAAATTTCCATGGCAGTCCTCTTTCCATTTCGAAAATACGCTTTCCTCTTCAAATACATGTTAATCTGTAGATGCAGACGTAATCCCTAGCTAAAGTAAACTGAGTTAGCAGATAAGTAATTTTCATCATTCTGATTAAAATCGGTACAATTTATTTTACAATGACCTAACAATTCTCTTACTTATCAATGACATTATCTCATCCCTCTTTTTGTTAAGGAGACAAACAAAATTCAGATTTTATTAGCAGTTATGTGATCTTTTTTATAGTTTCCTCCTTTTTATCTCACAGAATATTTTTACCGATAATGTTATCATTTTTAAGACAATGTACTTGAAGCCGGTGCTTTCATTCCAGGATGATGTCTTTTCAACTAGGCTTCTTTCATAAGTAAAAGGAACAAAATGTACGTTAGTTCAAATACTTTTTCAACCTGAAATTCTTTTCTACAGACTGTTCTCACTGTTAAATAACTATGAAGTAACTCTCAAATGATAGTTTTTCAAAATTATTCCCAAGTATTTCCTAGGTACAATTATCACAGTTTTGTTAAAACTAACTTGTACCCTACGATACCTATCAATAAGATATATCTCCCACTTTAGTACAATTTGTACTTTAGCCATCCAGTATTTCATTTATGAATATCACAGTTCACCAATTCGACATGTGAATTAGTCTGACTACACTAATACATATTACAGGAAAACAATCAATTCCATGTTATATAACCTTTACATTTTAATTAAATTCCATTAATCAAGTTTGTAATGTGTTCACTATACTGATTGATGAAATATCGTTGTATACACAGTTTATAGTTTTAAGATTTGAGGCAATCTACATGAAGTCTTGAGATTAGATCTCGTATTGGTTAGTACCTACTACTAGAAACTATATTCAAATCATCTTGACAGATGAATTGTTCACCAAACAAACCTTTAAATTTTCCCTGACACATAGACAAGTAGTTGTTTATTTAAAATTAACGAATTTAAAATAGTTCAATTTTTTTAACAGTTTGTAATAGTATTACTACACACTATAAGGTTGTCAGTGTCTTTAAAAAGATAAAAGAAGATTCATGCTTACAGAATAATCAAGTGAAACTCAATTAAAATAATACGACAGAACACTGCCATGGTGTAACTAAATGCATATTGACAACAGCTTGAAAATTATTACCGCCAAAATATCATTTTTGTGAATATGTTTTGATTTGTATTATTATAAGTACAATAACACACAGATTAGATAGATCCAGATGAAACAAACCACATTAGTTACTTTAACCTTGTTGTCAAGTATGTTTGATACAAATCAATGTAGTCCATCCAAACACGATACTAATGAATGAAGTTCTTTTACAAGTCAACACTAAATAATAACTCAAATCGCTGATGCATTAAAACATTTATATATGTTTACATTACTTGGAGTTGTCTTTTACAAGGAGGTGATCATTACAATCTAAAGAAAATTAATGACGTGATCAGATTAGAGCTTCCATCTGTAAAATGATTCAGGCTAGTGTTTCATTATGTCAATCACAGGACTTCATTGTTAATCGGAGATTATTCATATTTAATTATACACATACCACACTCAAAATTTATGTTAAATGCATATCTAATTTTATAATAACTAATGATAAACTCATTCTTTCATTGGTAATGAACTAGTAACACCAATCTATTTATTCTGTTGAGTTTTATGTAAAAGAATGAGTTACTTTTGTCAATCACTTATTAGGAAGTGTAACACGAATTACGGCAAAAGTGAAAAGTAACTCTTATAACGTTAAAAGTGAACATCATCTACAATTTAAACTGGTCTCCACATACCTACTAATTAGAAAACATTTTATAAGTTTACTAATAGATAGCTATACGAGGAAAATTCAAATTTCTAATAAGTAGTCGTAACCGGTGGAGTTCAACCATGGCATTATAAATGAAACAATTTTTATTCATGACACTGGATTGTCGTCGTAATATATATCGTGAAATGATTAAAATTGGAAATGAGGATCAATGAACTTTGAATCAGTGATTTAAAAGTGCCATGTTCATTGCTGGACCTGTTTTATCTCTGTTGGGTTGTGGATACGTACTGTTAAAATGTCTCATAGTAGGATGAATCAGTTATCCAGTATTCGCTATTGTTTAAAGTTACATAAACTGATCTGAATCCTGAGCATAAACCACCTAAGAAATGAAACTATTCTGAAAAATCCTATCAACTGGAAAACAACAATTAATTTTGTCAACTCGGTTTTTGTGCTACACTTAGTCTGTCAGGCCTGTTGGTACAGTCAGGCTCCTAAAACTCAAAGTAAGTGAGGCTAGGATGAAAATTATCAAAGGTCTAATTGATTTAACCAGTGGTTAATCATTGTTTATTTTATATGGCATTCTAGAGCGCTCTTCAAAATAATAGTAATATTAGTGGTAGTTATTGTTACATTTTATCATGAAGCCAAATGAAAGGAGAACTGCTAAAAATCGTGAAGCATTGGATTTTCAACAGTGCACAACTATAATCCAAAAAGAAATCGAACCCATAACGTTTAGTTTGAACCAGTTAGTTCGATTCATTTAATCGAATAATTCCTCATCTAACAATTGTCCATAGGGAAAATTACTTTCGACTTTTGCTAAATCTCTAAAAACTTTAATAAGTAATAATAATAGTAGTAGGCAAAATCGAACTGTTAGCCATAATAAATAATATTATTGGTCTTTGAAATCTTCAAGGTGTTTTCCATTTTTCCTACATACACCATCCATAAATTCGTAAATTTACAAATAATTTTCAGTGTACATTAATTCCTATCTGGAGAACTGATGAAAAGCTATATTGACTGTTAAAATCAATGAGCGAATTAATTAACACACGAGAATAACTCATGTTTGTACAACTATTCATTTGATTGTCATAATACAATAACAACTGAGGTAATAAAAACATCATTCTCGTCAAAGAATGAATCAGTAGAAAGTGCCATTTAGTTTAGTAGGCTTCATAGAGATTATTTCAATGTGAAAATGGTTATTGTTACAAATTGACTTCGGTGAGATGACCAGTGAAAAACTAGAGAATGACAATCAGCTATTTTTCCAAACTGAGAACTACTCACTATTGGACAGCATATTATTAACAAGTATCAAGCTCAAAATACTCAAGCTTCTCATTTAACATGTTATATTTAAATCCCTAATGTTCCATCTAATGAACATTTTACAGTTTCCAACTTCATGCAATACGTAATACAACGTGACTATCATAATATGTAATATACGACATTTAAATCATTATGTTAATAGTTGAATTCATAAGTCCATGTAAGCTAGACCACTATTGAAAACCTGAAAAAATTAGACAGCCGTGTCGTCTTAGTATATAACTCTTCATCAGTGCACATCCACCATCCCACATTCGAGATTCCAACCATAATAATTAACTAAATATTAATCAACTAACCTTGATGATTACAATTGAATTACGATTATGTGAATTAAAGTAATTTCTGCTTTTTTATTTAAAATCTAATTAGAAATAATAATTAAATGTGCAAATGTATTTCTCTATGATAAAGAAATGTGTATAAATAAATAATTCAACAATAATTCTCCATGATAACCAATCGTTTAATTTGTATTATCATTTGGTTATAACCAATTACAATTGAGTTTTGGTAAATCCACTGTAGGGTGATGAGTTAAAGAGATTTATTTTCATGGATTGTATAATCTAAATTCACTTCATATCAAAACAAAGTGATATTGTTTATGAATGAAACTATGTGTTGAATTGGGCATGATTTACTTAGTTCACATTTAAGACTATAATCAAAACTAAATTCAACAATTAATGATCACCATCTTGTTTAATCAATCTATGATATGACTAATAAGAATCTAACTACAATAACATAATTCCTTGTCATTCCTTAGCTTATAGTTTATAACGAAACTTCATTATAAACAAATAACTAACTAACTAACATGATACTCCTTCGACACATACATGTAACATAATTAAAAGTTTACCTTTTATCCTATCCGATACGTTTATTGATATTTTTCTATTGATAATAATTTTAAATTGTCAACAAATCACTGTAATATTGTTCCTTTTTTTATTATAAATCAGATAGACTACTACTATCAAATTTATCTACTACTTTATACCACTTTCTTGCAATATTCACTTGTAGTCTAAAGGTGAATTAATCAACGATTGGACTTTAATAACTTAATAACTTATATTGTATTACAATAAAGAGAGAAGAACGAATAATAGTTTATTTCAATAAATTCTTATCAGGTGATATAATAACTAAGTTCAAATTATTGATCAAACGAAATACGGAGAATGAATTTACGATAAACATTTTGGTTAATTTTGTTGTCTGGTATTTGTATTACAATTATTACTTAAATGCTTAGATACCGACTTACAAACTGCATCTTAGTCATCAAATATCTTCCATTCTTGACTCCTGAAAAGGAAAGAAAAGTCGAGAACTATGAATATTTACTTCGAAGGTAGTTTATATATAGAAAAAATAGTTATTCATAGTGTTATATGTGACTATGAGACTTTAGAAATTTCTGGAATATAAAAATAAGACTGGCAATTGTCTCATTTTGAAAACCAAACCATAATCCGTCGTTTTCCAGAATTCTGTCAAAAATGTATAATAAAGAGCCAGTTGGTCAAAATATTAGCCAAATTTTAACAACCTCTTAAGGCGTGCTCCAATAATTATTGAGGGCGCATAATTACAGTAAAATTGAGTCCATGCTGAATAGATTTCCTACATATACGGAAAAAGGTTGAAAATGCCTCTTCTAAACTTAGAGCTCCGTTTTCATCATTCATATAGTTAACGATTCAATTGCTTGGAGGACTCATTCAATTCGTTATATTGGATCATTTCGAGGATTCCGACCAAATGAGGTATTGTAGGATTGATGTTCCAAAATTTTCAGTATGAAGTTGTGGAGATTGTTGGGTTCCATTGAAATCATGAACTGACCTAACTTATATCGGTTCATGATTTTTCAATGGAACCCAACAATCTTCACAACGCCAAACTGAAAATTATCATGCGCTCACTAGCGACTAGATCTAGAAGCAATTCTCAGAATTTTAGTGAGACACCGTGATCAGTGGAGTTGAGCCGTGTTGGGTGTGAGGCAGTTACCCACCAAACACAATTGAAGATGGTCACGTGACATCATGGATTGATTGAAGTTAGACGTTGACATTGCTGAATGCCAGCTCACTGGTCTATTTGTTAAGCGTTCGCACACGACACTGAAGGTCCTGTGTTTGAATCCCACGTACAGATCGTGAATGCACACTTCTAAGGAGTCCCATATTAGTACATATTAGTACACTGCCTCAAAGTTCTCAATGGTGGTTCATCGTAGGTCGTTCATAATTTCGATGACATTCAAAAATGACTGTTAAAAAACAAGTTACTGAAGCTTTGTAAGTAGTATAGTTGATATACAGAAAGAACAAAAAGCATGAAGATGGATTCAGAAATCTCAAAACTGAATTAATTTAGTGTAACATAGAACACGAAAATCTGAATAGAAAAGAAATGAAGCGACTCATCAAGACAAAAAAAATTCAAGCTGATAAATATTCGCAAGGAAATCATTTAAAATCTACTTCAAATCAAATGCTGTTGAGTTTTTCTGACCATACTATAGAACTCATCTACTTGTGTCGTAACTTAGAATACACTTTATTATCCTACCAATATCTTTCAATGCCATTTCTATGTATTATCACTGCCACCCCCCGCCCACATTTTACTTCCCAGATATACTTAATTTATACCATTTTATTAACGGAAATCAATAAGCCTTAATAAAGGCTTTGCTAATCTTCTTATAGTTGTAACATTCATTAACGTTGACTGCTGTAATCCATCGTACATGAACTAGATTTAGTTATAACGCTCTCTGGGTCAAACTTGATTTATCTTCTTCCTTTCCTTTTAGTTAATCATTTCTAGTTATATCAAATATGCAAGTTACCGATAACCTACAAAACGGAGGTTTCTTGTATTAACTTATTTTCAAAATTAAAACACCCTCTTGTCAAGAACAGTTATGTTTCCCCACCTAATGAGACATTCTGGAAATTACAGTTTAAATGATATTACTATGCAGTAAACTTACTTACGCTTGAAACTTCTCGTGAAGGAGCATTGGCCAGCCACCAGAAATCTCCACCCAACACTCTACTGGCCAGTCCTTCCAGCTCTATCCAGTTGCCATTCATCCTTTTCATATCTACTTCTATTTACCGACATAATGTGTTCTTTGACCTTCCTCTTTTCCCCTTCCCTTCAGGATTTCAAGTTAGGGATTGCCTCATGATGCAGTTTGATGGTTTCCGTAATGTGTGTCCCATTTACCTCCATCGTCTTTTCCTAATTTCCTCTCCAGCTGGAACCCAGTTTGTTCTCTCCCACAGTAGTTTGTTGCTGATGATATCCGATCAACTGACATTCAGTATCTCGCATAGACAACAGTTTATAAATGATTGTACCTTCTTGATGATGATGGTTGTAGCAGTTCTCCACGTTCCAACTACGAACAGTATAACTGTATTGATGTTCGTATTGAAGATTCTCAATTTGAAATCAATTTGAGTTCAATATGTTCTTCAACTGTAGGAATGCGACCCTTGCTTTGCTAATTCTCGCCTTTACACCTACATCCGATAATTATTGTTCATCGATGATGCTTCCCGGGTAAGTGAAGGATTCTACATCTTCTAATGTTTCGCCATTAAGTGTGATTTAGTTGGTGTTATCTGTGTGTTGTATTTGAAAATGCAGAGACTGACGGTCGTAGTAGTTCTCCAAGTATCAGCTCTGTACATTAGAACTGTTTTGATGTTCGTATTGAAGATTCTCACTTTGATATTGGTTAACAGTTGTTTCGCGTTCTATACGTTGTCCGACTGCAGGAATGCTACATTTACTTTGTCAATCCTTATCTTTACATCTGCCTTGGATCCTCCTTGTTCATCGACGATGCTGATCGGGTAGATACATGAAAGTTTCAGCCTGTTCCTGATCTTGTTCATTGAGTGTGATTGTGTTGATGTTATCTGTGTTGTATTCGAGAATCTTTGGTTTTCCATTGTGTATGTTGAGGCCTACTGATGCAGAGACTGCGGCTACACTGGTTGTCTTGACCTGCATCGGTTGGTGTGTATGAGATAGAAGAGGTCGGTTAGGTCATCTGTGAAGTCCGAATAGTCTAGCTGCGTCCAATCTGTCCACTGAATTCCATGCTTCCCGTCAGATGTGGATGTTTTCCTAATCCAGTCGACCACCGGAAGAAAGAGAGAGGAGGAAAGTAAGCAGCCTCGTCTGACACCGGTCCTCACTTGGAATGCATCTGTCAGCTGTCCTCCATGCAACATTTGGAGTTTAGTCCGTCTTATCAGTTACAGATAATATTGAAATATTTCTCTCGAACTCCATAGTGTCGAAGAAGTTTACATAATATTCGCCTATCTACACTGTCAAACGCCTCCTCATAGTCAATCAAGTTGATGTATAGTGACTGGTTCCACTCAACTGATTGTTCACCAATGATCCGTAGTATCGCGATTTGGTCTATGCGCAATCGATACTTATGGAATCCAGTCTGTTGATCTCCTGGCTAGGTGTCTACTGAGTCTTTCATCCGGTTCAGCAACACTGTTGAAAATCTTTCCTGATACTGATATTAGTGTGATGTTTCTGTAAACTTTCACATTTATTCAGATCTCCTTTCTTTGATTAAGTATCCTTCTTTCCAGTCTGTCTGCAGCAATTGTTATCCCCCCCAAATCCTCCTGAATAAATTATAGAGCATGTTTGCAGTTAATTCTATGTTTAACTCCAGAGATTCGGCTCATATATTGTCAGGTCCAACTGTTTTCCCACTCTTGATTCGTCTGATGTTCATGTTAACTTCTTCGATCGTTGGTGGAGTGACATCGATAGGAAGGTTTGTGTGTGCTGCTACAACATCTGGTGGATTGAGTGGAGCTTGTATATTCAAGAGTTCCTCAAAGTATTCTAGCCATCTATTCCTCTGTCCTCTGCCTTCTTTGTCTTTGATCGGTCTGTTTGGTTTAATATATTTCCCTGATGGTTTCTTTGTAGTGTCATATAGTTGCTTCATATTTCCTTCCCTTTAACAGGTGATAATAACTACCAAAAAATGCTTATTTGCCACAGACTGTAGTGAATGCACAAATATTCTTTTTTTGTTGTGAAGTTGAGTGAGAAAATTCTGAAAACAGAAGATTTTTCATTAAGTATGGTAACATAAAATCAGTCGTGCAGAGTTGATAATCCTCTGATCATAAAATGTTCGAGGTTTAAATTTTTTGAGGTACAACCAAAAGAAAGTCGAATTCATAAGGTAACTGAATGAAAACTGGATTTAGGTGCATATTATCTATCAGAAAATAACATACTGTGGTATGCTAAGCTAAGATGCTATTAAATAATGAAAATAAATAATGTCACGTTTTTAAAATAGCCAGATCATCCAGGATAAACGCAGTTCTCAGAGTAAAGAATACAAGAAAACTAAATAACTAGAGTTAAGAAAACTAATATCAAAAGTAAAAGCTAGAGGGTCTGAATAGGACTTAAAGTGGGTAGTATTCAATAAACAATCTGTCGACAACAACTACTCAATTACCAATCAATCGTGTAAAATAGCACACAAAAAGGGAAAATTACATTATTGAAGTTTAGAAATAAACACTAGGCTCTAATTCAGTGAAACTTTAATGTCAGCAGTAGTTTATCGATTGTTGGTTTAAATTTTCCTATTGACCTAATTAACTCAGTTTACTTGACCAATCAAATGAACAACCAATTGTATGGAATACCTAAACTATTAAG